CCCAAACCTCCACCTGATGCCACAGGAGGAGGACAATAGTAAGAGGACTGAAGACAGGAAAACTAATTAGGACATTGTTTAAATATTCAAGGTGGAAGGTACTGAGGGTAATAGCAATGTATATACATGTAGTTTTGATTCTAGTTTAGTACAGATATATTAGTACCCTTCATTACTCCTTTAAGATACATGAGAATATATATGTATATAGTCAGAGACTGGCTGGTGAGCACTACAGCTATTTCATGTTTTTTGGACACACAGCTACACTTCATTTCCTAGTCCTGTATTGTCTAGGTGGGGTCATGAGACTAGTTGTTCCCAGAGGTATGTCAGGAGATGATTGTTCTCACATACAGGACAAAGTATTTACCTTCTCCATGCACTCCTTTCTTTTATCTGTTTCTAAAGTGGTAAGAATGCATGATAGAGATAAAAGTGACAGATTTGTCAAATACAAGTACCCTGGGTCCTTGAGGCACAGCTTGGAGGACAAGCACTCAAGTGAGTAGGTTGAAAAGAATGCTTCTATTAGACTTCACATGAGCAAGAAATAAACTTTGTTTAATCACTGAATCGCTTTGGATTTTTTTGGTAGTATCCAGAGTTAATTATTCTAATACTTACTTTCCTCCTGTTTTATATAATAATGTCAGAGTTTTTTTTTTTTTAATTTTATTTAAGGAGAAAAGAAAAAAAAAGCAGGGAAAGGGTAGAAGTTATACAGATTTACAGAAAAAAATGAACAGTAGGAAATCACTAGTTAATGGATTACATATTGTCATCTTAGAAATAATTGTTCAAGTCACAAAATTAAAGCTTGTAAAGTGGACATTCCATCAATGATACTGCAAACAGTTCTGTTCATTGATCCAATAAAACTCTGTGATATCATTTTCTATCTTATACACTTAAATATACCTGCAGTTATATAGTTTGGAGCACTTTCTTTTCCTCTCTTTTGTACCATGACTATTACACATTTTGGGTTTCATTGCTCCCACGGTTCTTATTACTTTTTTGGAAGAGAGTAAAACCAAATGTGACATAACAGAACAGAATTGGTCAAGTCAAAAGGGTGGACATAATAGATAATGTAAAAACATAATACAAGGTGATCAACAATGGTTACCATAATGCCTCCCGCTATCTCTAATAGAATTGCCTGTATCATTAGTTAAAATACAATTGAACAAAACAGTAAAGAATAAAACCGAATGTCAGAGTTTTGTTGGCTTCATTGTCACGTATATCCTTTGCTTCTTTAGTACCTTTATTTTTTAGTTCTCTCTCACTGAAATATGTTAGACACTTAGGGTTCAGTGGTAAATAATGAGATCTCTGCCATGATGGAATTAGGAATCTAGAGGAGGAAAAGATAAGCACTAGTATAATAATTGTAGCAAAGAGTAATTGTGTTTTTGCTGAAATGGCTTGCCCACAATGGGAGACAGATAGAACTGGAGAATTTAATTCAGTTCAGTTCAACAACACTTTGAATGTCTACAGTATGCCACACATTAAGTTGTGCACACAGTATAGAGGAATTACAAAGGCTGTGTTTGGAAGAGTCGGAAATTCAGCACCCTGTAGTGACTAGTATTTTTGTTGGTTTAGATGTATTAGTAGAAATCACTACAGTATGCTACAGCAGAATAGGGAGGGTGTGACGGACTTAGTATAGTGTAATGTTTTGAGAATATTACTTGACTTGTTTTTTTTCTACTTTTTCCTTTTATCTTGACTCTAGTTATCAAAAGTTTATGTTTCATGGAGAAACATAAAAAAACACCCTAAAACTGTTAGCATTACTTTTGTTTATTTATTTTGTCTTTTTATGATAGTGGGAAAAGAACTCAGGGCTTTGCACTGACTTACACTCCTATCCCTTTTTTAAAGACTTTTTTTAAATGTTAAAACAGAGTCTTTTTAAGGTGGTCAATTGTCCAGGCTAGGCTGGAACTTGCAATCGTCCAGCCTCAGCCTCCTCGAGTGCTGGGAATATAGGCCTTTGTTACCACTAATATTCACATTTCGAAGGCTATTTGATAAGTAGAAGCTAGTTGACTTTGCCCTCATTCATTCATTTAATATCTACTTGTGCCTGAGCATACCACAAACTATTCTCATGTTAGATTTCTATAGCAGAAGTCAGAGAAGAAGATGGAATGAACAAACATTGTGAGTCCAAGAGAAAAGGGGGTCTTTGTACACTGAAACTTGGACTGAGCTATGAAACTGGGCAGAACAGTAGCAATAAGTTTACTGGAGTCAGGAACAGAGAAGACATGCTCCTTATCTTCCTGAGAAGGCTCCCATAGTCAGTAGTACCAGAGGGGGAATGGTGAGGTGTGTGGAGCTAGTGACATTCAGGAGGAGATTCTGATGTCCACCAAGCTGCAGGAGCAGCATGACGTGCTCAGGAAAACTATGGAAACAGACAAGTTCTAAATGGTTCCATAGAAAGAAGTGTGAGCAAGATGAGACAGGAAAGAGCAGAATGAAAAATCACCAGGGGCCCTAAACAGTTGAGAGCAAGAGAACGAGAGAGTGTGTGCATGAGAGAGACCCAGAGAGAGAGAGCGAGAGAGAGAGAGAGAGAGAGAGAGAGAGAGAGAGAGAGAGAGAGAGAGAAGCTTGGTGGTTAAGAGTGAAATAAGACTCCAGAGTCGTCTTCCAGGCCTGGTAAGAGCAGCCCAGCTAGGAATGCAGAATCTGTAGCAGGTCACGAGGATGTGTGATGAACCAGGGGACCAGATACTTTGCTCTACCTCACTGTCAATTCTGACAGCTCAGCATCATGTTTCTCCTTGAAACTTGCATTAAAGGTTTGGAGACAAGATCAAGAATACCAAATTTATTGAAATTATACTTTACAACATGCATTAAAAGGAATGAATGATGTAAAATTAGCCAAATTATATAAAAAATACAGTCAGCTTTACTTCTTGCATTCCTGAGTATGTTACCTGAAGTTTGGAAACATTACAGATTCTTAGGAGGTAGTGAGATTAAGAGAAGACTTTCTAGAGGAGATTGCTAACCTGGGGTATTAAAAATGAATCAGAATGGATCAGATGGACTAGGAGTATTATCAGGAATTTCAAAGGCCAATTGGCAAGGTATTCTTTGCTAAAGGAGCAGGTTGATCAAAGGCCCTGGGGTCTGAAGCAGCCAAAGGTACTCATTAGAGGTGTTAACATTCCACATTTTTGGAGACTGAGCACAAAGTGTGAACAGAGTAGTGAGAATGGCAGGCAAGACATTTTAGAGGGAATCCGGGTCAAAATAGATCCATATGTATTATGTTAAATGAGTTTACCTCATCAATAAACTTCATATACTTTGTTTTGTCAGTATAAGTTTCTACCAAGAACAGAACAATTTCCAATTACTTATCCTTTCCAGCAAATCTGATCTCACAATTTGACTATCAACACAGGATGAGATCATATATCATTAATAAGATCTTTTAAATGGTATGGTTTATTGAGCATCTTCCTAATAATAATTCATGGCCATTAGACTTTCTTCTTTCAAGCCACCTAGAATATTTTTATATAGTCCTTGATTACATCCAGCCTAGATTCTGTATTAGTTGCTTGAAAATTGCTGTGGTTACTTATTTTAATTATTGCAACATCTCTTGCAGATAACACTAAACATTGTCTTAGATGAATTGTATGCAGAGCACCTGGAGTTATTTTACAGTGGTAGAGAGTAGTGAAACTATTTTCTGGACACTAACATAAAAACAGTAAATATTCAGACAACAATTCTCATTTTGACCCTTATAACTACTCTCTGATACTGGAAGAACAGAATGTGACTTTACTGATACATACATAATGGAGATCTTGGGCCCTTCCTACCTCTCCAGGATTATGCCAGTCCACACTTTGTTTGTCACATGTAATCAAATTGACCATCTTTCTATTCCTCAAATGTTACAAACTTGCTCTTATCCCAGGGTCTTTGTACTAATTATTCTAGTTTTATTATTCTTTCCTTTCTCCTAACACAATGAAATCACCTGTGTTTCTGAATATTTACAATCTTTTAGAATGATCACCTATGGAATATACTTATTTCTTGATATTATTGTTGTACTTGTTTTGTTTTGTTTGAGACAAGGTCTCGCTATATAGTTCAGGATATTCTTGAACTTGCTATATAGCCCAGGCTGGCTTTGAACTTGAGGTGATCCTCCTGCCTCAGCCTTCAGAGTGCTGGGATTACAGGCATGCACACCATCATTCTTTTGCAAACAATTTTTGGGCTTCCCTGTAGAATTTATTTATAAACCATACTGTGTTAGCTTATGCTCTTGCTTCATTTTTTACTTCAAGTGGCAATATACCACTGACTTTTATACTATTAAGCTTTGAATGACATTTAATTATTTCTAGAAATTAAAACCATCCTCTAAGAAAGGGTGCAAAATTATTGAGCATCTTCAGAGGAGTAAAGAATAAACTGTGAAGGTGATGGAAAGCGAACCTTCAGAATGATTTTAGACTAAGGCAATATTGCTGGCGGAATGTGTACTCTTGTAAAGTAGCTCATTTGAATGTTTGCATATATTTCTCAGGAAGAAGCTGCATTATCCTCAGGTCACATCGGATGGGCTTATTGTTGATGACTTAAAATATCTATTTTTACACAAAGGTATTTCAGTAAAACCAAAACTTTATACACACACACACACACACACACACACACACACACACCCTAAAATAGACTATGACGGTGAGCTATGAGTTTGACTACATAACTCAGTGAGTTCAAAACATTTAGATGATCACATCTTGATTTCATCTAGTACAAAACAAATACAGGATAATGATTATTTAGCCATTGTAGACAGTTAGGATAAGAGGCTATATCTACCTCTTGAGGAAATACTGCCTTTGTGATCTGTAATAGATATTTTAACTACAGCTTATGTGCTTTTTACTAGCAAATAGGAAAGAAATCAAAGTAGAGTGATCCTTAGAAAGTTAGTTTAATTTTAGCTTTATTTGAGTAATTGCAAATGTTATTAACTTGAGCAAATCAGTAAAAGCAGAAGACTTCCACATTTTATTATCCTTGCATAGGTGTTTGGAACAAAAATTCAAATCAACATCACAACACATTATTTGAACGGAATAGTCATCAGGAAATATTACCGAAAGAAACAGAACATGACTTGGTTTGTTCAGTTGAACTCCAGTATGTGGGATACGCAGGTATTAAAAAAAAGAACTTGGGCCTTGGGGTTTCATTTCCTGTTCCTCCTAACTTTGTTAATACTACGTTAAACATTTTGGAATTTTGGTGAATAATGCTGAATAAGAAACTATGATTGAATAGCTTAGGATAATGTGAAATATTTGTCCAGAAAAAACAGACAGAGATATTTATTTTTAAGTTCATCTAATTATCAACTAAAGCCTTAAAGCCTCAAATTGAACAGCATGTTTAACTGCTCACCGAGTCTCTAATTGAACCTTGGCAAAACCAGTGATCTTGTAAAATTTACTGATAGCAAACTTCACATGTTAGCTCGACACATACACATTACACACATTTTTAAATCCCCATTTGAAATCTTCTGCCTATTTTGTTCATGAAAATTTTAGAATTTTTATTGTTTTGAGGAAATAATAGATATTGTTCTTGCCTATGAGACATACTTGGAAATCATTTATCAGTATACTGTCATTTATTTTTTCCTCTCAGAATGCTCAATATCATTGGAGTCCTTTTTCTTCACGAAAGTCCACGCAAATAAAATTTCCAAGTACTGGCTTTGGCACATCATCAATGTATCATATTATAGGAAGGGCAATCTCTGAAGACAATACAGTGAATTGCCATAATTCAAAAACATGTGCTCAAATTGTATTGTTGTAAATTTTTTTTCTTTCATGTAAGTGGAGATTATATATAAACATAAGTTGTTTTGTTCATGGGTATACCCAAGATGTCACTTAAAGATCTATAAAGAACACTAGCATGAGATCTTGGTTTGAATTTCTGGCTAATTATCAAATTGTTATATTACACACAGAAATTAATTTCTTTATGTTAGCTTCCTTTGGGTTAAGTTTGTCTTAACTACTTTGTACATTGCTACTAAAAATGATACAAGTGATACAAAACATGCTTTATTATTATTATTGCTTTTTTAATGATTTCCTGAATAAAAAATCAATAAAATTCTCATTTAATAGAAATAGTAGAATAGTAGAAAAATTGAAACAAAGATTTTATAAATGGAGAGGAGGTGCAGGGTTGAAGGTTGGGGAGGGAAACTGGAAAAAAGAAAAAATTAATATATATCATGTGCAGGTACAAATTCTCTATGATGAATGTGATCAATACTTATGGCAAATATGTACTAATAAAACATAAAGTGAAAAATTATCCTGTAAGATATCTTTAAGGAAAAGATTTTAAAAATGTATAGGTCCTAGAATAACTGTATTTAGCAAATACATTACAACATTTAGCACTTAAGTCACATAACAAAAAGAAAACATATGCGTGTCGATAAACAAAATTGAAGACCTATGCTTATCATTTTTGTGACTTAAAAAATGTTTAAAAAATCAATGCATTGAGCAGAGGATTTAGCTCAGTGGCATAAGTGCTTGCCTGTGAACTGCGAGATCATGAGTTTGATCCCTAGTTCAAAAAAAAAAAAAAAATCAATGCATTAGAATCTGAATTTTTTTTTTTTTTGCAAAAACTAATCAAACAGTCTTCTAAAAAATGATTTTTTGGAAGGCGTTAAGACTTTTCCAGAACCTTTTTTGCGTACTGATTTCATTGGAGGCTTTTTTAAGGGTATGGCTCTTTTTGGAGTTTGTAGTGCCCTTGCTATCTGCACATGCTCATTGCAGTAATACTTGTTGCTCCCTTCTGACAGATGGATGAGCGTTGGTTCTGCCAGGTCCATGCACTGGGCATGGACCCAGTGCCCATCTCCATGAGAACAATAAATCATGGCAGGTTTGTTGAGCTCAGTTGAATAGAATGGTACCCAAGTGTTGATATCCACATCACAAGTAGGGCAGCATGTTATCCAGTAGCCTGTCACAGACTCATCTTCTTCATCATCTTCATTATAGGTGTCAAATTCATCATCACCATCGAAACTATAGGCTTCTGCACTGAAACAAAATTCTTCAGAATCTTCAAAGGGAGTAGAGTCTCCTGGATCTTCTGTTGATGTCTGACTGTTTGTCAAGGTTTTCTGATCTTCATTCACATCATTGTCACAGCATTTCAACATATAAAAATAGAATGCTTCAGAAACAGCCTGTTTATGGTCTCCTGGAATACCAAGGAAAATGCTCCCATTCCCCATGTTATTTCCAAACCATATCTTGCTGTGTTTAATATCTGGGGTCCAATCTGGGGTTTCCATCTCAGAGATTTTTATCTTGTTGTCTTCTAAAGTGACAATGTTGCAGACCATTCTCTTTTGATTTTCAAGTTGATAGCCACCAACAATAACAAATTCATCACTGTTAGTTTGAGTCAGGATTGCACTGGAGACAGAGATTCCTCCTGGCAAGACTGTAAAATTCACAGCTGGACTGCCCAAAGGGAGGTCAACCTTTATTCTGTACAGATTGGCAGGGCGGATGTTATTGGCAAGCGAATGTCCTCCTAAAATATAAACGGTATCATTTTTGGCAATCGAGACATGAAAAGATAGTCCATCCTGAAGTTCTGGAAGAACATATGATGTAGCACACCCAAATTCAAAATCCACCAAGAAAACATGGGGTAAGCAATCAGCTACGCTATTCCACTTCTCTGTGGTTCTTTGGGTAGAGGGCATGTATGATCGTCCTCCAAAGATCACTCCCATACTTTTCCCTCGACTGTACACCACGTCAATGGAATGACCATATCTGGCTTCAGGAACATCTCCTACCAAGTCCTTCTCTGTGCAGCGAAAGGTAACTTTTTTGTTGTTTTTGCAAACAATAGACATGACGTAAATTTTATCAGAAAGCTCATTGTTTGGTGTTTTCCCTCCATGTATGATATATTGATTCTTTTCAGACTCCAAGTTTCCTTTGAATGTGCAAATGGCTGGGTAGCGAAGAGGAGGAAGATAGCAGGAATCCTTAGAGAAAACTGCAGGCTTCATTTTGAGATGGTTATGCTTCACGTCAAAATGGAAAACCCCAGTAGGGCAGGATCTCTTTGGCCAGCCCTTTTGGCCAAAGAAGAAAATTTGCCCATCAAAATTCATCAGTGAGAAACCTGGTTGAATTAAGGCTATGTTGTTACCAACTGTTACCATCTGCAGTGACATATTTTCCAATTGTCAGTAGATCTTTTACCTGAAAGTATTATAAAACAAAATGATTTAGACTATCTTCATGTAAATAACCATGTTTAGATTCCTTCACATGCAAAAAAGCATGTTTAAAAAAAAGTCCTAGGAGTAATAAAATCCCAAATGTGTATTTGTTATTGTAAAAAAGAGAGGAAAAGAAAATGCTCTAAAGGGATATACCATATTACTAAGTTTTTGTTGGGTCGTTGAACAGAACTGTTTGTAGTCTCACTGTTTGAATATTCACTTTGAATGCTTTAATTTTGTAACTTGAACAACTATTTCTAAGAGGATAATATGTAATTTATCAACTAGTGATTTCTTACTGTTTATTTTTTTCAAATTCTGAACTATTTCCACCCTTTTTTCCAGTTTGGTTTTTTTTCTCTTTAAATAAAAAAAGAAAAGTTCTCCCGTAAGCTCCTAGAAGGACCAGATGAAAAAAATTCTGGCAGTTAGGTATACAAAAGGAGACGGAACCTTTTACCCAATACAGTCCAAGCACTTGGGACATATTTTGGAGAGTGAATGTTCACGCTTAGATTTCTGGGAAGTGTAGTTTTTTCTTCTAAGAGTCCTTTACATGTTCAATAAAAGAACTACAATTCCCAGAAATCCTCTCTTATAGTGCGGTAGATATAATAATTGTTTTGGTTGCTCCAAGGGGGAATACTTGTAGGATGACTCTCTGAATAAGGACGCCGAAAGTGCGAAGTGACTAGATGTGAGCCGAAGCGCAGAACACTGGGTCGCGGGACGTGAGAGAGGTTGGCACGCACTCAACCTTGGGTTTCGAGAAGGCTACACCACCCGGATGGGTGTTTGGTAAACCCAGGTGCTGTAATTGTCTGATCCCCTCCTGGGGACTCTTAGAAACAGGTGACCCAGTAGGAGGCACAGCTGCTTCTGGCCCGATTATGGTTGCCTGGAAACCACACAGTAAAGGGAGCCATGGCAGAGCAGTCGTTATGGACTCTTGCCTGGACGGTTTGGAGTTTGGCTCAGAATTGCACCCTCGAGGGTCCTTGGGTTGCTGGCATAGGGGGCCAAAGGGGCTGTGAATTTACACAAACTGCCGTGATCTCAGATACCTGGCCTGCAGGGGAGAAATTGCCTGATAATGATTTTACTGTTCTGCTTTTAGTAATGGAAATGTTCTAATTAGAGTTCTGCAAGTACCACTGTAAAGGCCTTTTGTTTCTTTATCTGACTTTTCTGCCGTTTTTAGGGTTCTTTTCGGGAGGCAGAGAAGGTTCCTAAACACATCTTCCCCTTGCCGCTTTCTAGGGAGATAGTCTTAGTAGTTTTTATTTCAGATCTCTTCCCAAGTCCACTAACTTTGAGATAATTTTTTAGTAATTGTTTAGTAAGCAGGCACTAAGCAAAAAGGTGCCAGAATTATTCAGGATTTCATGTTTGTATTATGCTATTTAAAATGATACATCTAGAAGTAAATTTGATAATTTTTAATTTTATTATTGCTACCTCACTTGTAAAGATGTAAAATACATTTCCTGTTTGCCAGGGAAGTTTTAGGCACCAAAAGTCAAGGTAAAAAATAACACAGATTTCCTAACGTTTAGAGTAAAAAGTTAACATACTTAAAAGCAGATAGCTAGATACAATGCTAGTGCTGTCACTAATTAAAATTTTGGCAAGTTACTCTAAGCCTCAGTTTCTTCATCTGTAAAATGAGATAATTATGCCTACTTCATAGGTTGATGTTAATTATGACCAGTAATTTAATACATATAAGCACCTGGAACAACTTTCCACCCTGTATGCTAAATATTATTATGATTATTGTTGATTTTATCAAAAGTAAGATTGTTAGAGTACAATTGTCTGCCACTGATGGCAACTGATACAAGGTTGGCAATGCAATGGTTAGAAGGAGCTTTTGCACTTTGGAATCTGGTCAGTGGGTATAAACTTTTTTTTTTTTTTTTTATCGGTATCAGGGATCGAACTCACAACCGCCTGCTTGCAAGGCAGGTGCTTATGCCGCCGAGCTAAATCCCCAGCCCCGTGGGTATAAACTTTTGAGCTAATAAATTGGATAAATATATATGCTGAGGGTGCTGATGGTGAGTTAATGTAAATAACAAGGAATATTTTATTATCCTTGTCATTATATTGCTAATTGTTCATTAAATATGCAGGATCTAAAGTTAGATTTTCTGAGCCAAGTCTGGAGCTCTGATGGTTGTTTTGTTGCCTTGGGCAAGTTATTTTCTCTTTTTCCATCTGCAAAATGAAGGCAATATTAGTACCTATTTATTGCATTGCTTTGAGATGTAACTGCAACAACACCTGTAAATCACATAGCGAATGATTAATATTAGTTGATACTATAATTTATTTTTATTAGTTGGACCATTGTGAATCTGTCGTTGCTTTAATGAGATGTTGATTCTTTTATTTTCAGTTTTGGAAGCACTTTTGTAGATCAGATTTCATTGGTTGCTAGACATTTTCTTGTAGTTATTATTTGGTTTATACTCTATCATACCTCAAGGTATGATCTTTTAATAATTACCTTGTGGGCTGTTAAACCAAATGAAGAAGTGGTGCCTAAGATTTATTATTGCCAAATCTATGCAAACAAGCCTTTCTCTTTTTCAGAGCATAGTGGTTTGTGAATTCAGCAGTTTACCTAGCTTGTGAAAAGACCCGGGCAAATGTTTTATTTATTCACGGACTTTCCTTGTATACACATAAGAGAAGGCATCCATCAAGTAAGAAAATTTTATCCATAGGAACAAAAAGAAAATATCATTGATCCATAGTTCAGAAAATGAAAACTATAGGTGATTACACTCAGTGTGTTGATTGACTATTTTCTGAGTTTCTCCATTTTGGGTGGAGGGAGGCTTGTTGCCAAAACTTGCTTATTTTAAACACCTATAAACTCTGATATTGGGATATTTTGCTTTACCTACGTGATTATGTTTTCTCTGGAGTACCATTATATCTCTTCCAGGGTTTTCATGTAACTATATCAGTCTTATCTAGGTTTCTAAAAAAGTTTTTAAAAAGATTATACTAGATCTATAATAAACTACTGAAGACTTTTTCTTTAAATAGACTCTACAAAAACAGGCAGAAAAAAGAAACAGGCAGATTTTTAAAAGTAAGACACTGGTCTTCAACTGAAGGAAGTTTCAAAGTCAATGCATTAAAGATTCTTTTTTAAAAAAGGCAGAAATATAGGACTGATACACTTATACCATTTTCCCAAACCCATGCTAACAGTCCTCAGCAGGATATTTTCACTTATTCACTCTGAAGCCAGGGCATAGTTGAGTATCAAAAGAGAACTAATGGTATAAGTTCTATAGTTCTATGTTTGTAGTTTCCCGGCTCTGAACTCACTTATTTTTCTTTCCAAAGGAAGATAGTGTACTCTGAAGCTTTAAATCTTACTGACCAGTGCTGCCCATGTTTCCTGATTGCTCCAAAATAGCAAGTAACCTCTTATACATGACATGTAGTGCCTCTTAACAGCAGGCATTTAGTGTGTGACTTAATGCTATTTTGCATGCTTAATCAGGTTTGAAGCATACATTATTTGATTTTTCTGCTGGCAGTAAAACCAGAATTAAGTTTTCTTTCTACACTAACACGAGAGCAACATTGACGTCCTAAGATTAATAAGAGTGCTGTGAAGGTGTAGGAATTAAATCCTTGCAAACAGCCAGAGAACGAGAAGCCCCAAATGTTCCGAATTCTGCTTCAGCCTTTCCCCATTTGACCCGCTGACCGTCTCCCACTCACATGTTGCTGACGTGCGTGTCATCATTCCCCTTCAAGGTTACAACAAGTTTTGGTTGAAATGAAGGCATTGGACCTACCTGAAGGCAGAGGGCCTGCTCACCCCTCTCTGAATCTCTGCTGCTGTGCCAGGTTTTAAAATCAGCACTTGGGAAAGATTCCCGCACTGCCTACTATGTCTGCAGCAAGCTGAAGGCTGATGACTTTAGTATGTTTATAGACCCTCCAGATGTTCCAGTGAACGCTGATCTAACGAGCAACTGACTGTGACCTTTTTTATTTTTCCTCTTTGATGGTTGAGGGAGATATCCACCAGGGTATAACTCAGAATTTAACTGTTTCATTACTGACAGTAGTGGAAACATAATTCAGGATTTATTTGTAAAGCAAAAATAAACAAACAAACACAAAACAAAACAAAACCCCTCCAAAAATGTCTGGTTGAAACCTGATTTACTAAAATTAAAAATATTTAAAGCCAATGAATGTCATCATTCAGGTTTAAATAAATGCTATTGTGAATCAAATGAAAAATTGCTTGCCCTAAAGCAAAGAACATTTGTACCAGTGTTAGTCATTTGTTTTCTTTTTAAGCTAGTTTTTTTTTTTAAATTAATGTTTGTGACATACACTAATTAAATTCCACTTGGGGAATTAGTATATACCCAGTGCATCTTAATCTTTTTACTTCCCCTGTAAGTTGAAATGCTCTTCCGTGGTCTTATTTCTTTAATGTAGATTCAGAAGGTGGGAATTATAGTTTTTGGGATCTCTATCAACTACATGCCAGGCAGTTACTGTGTGTGATATTGTACAGTGTAATGATTAAGAAAAGGGGGTTTGGGTCTGGCCGACCTGGTTTCCTTTACAGCTCTATCCTGTTTCTGTTGGAGTCCCTAGCCCTCAACCTTGTTTCTCCCCATCCTAAATGGAGATATAGAAATATTTATCTTGAATGACTGTTAGGAGAATGTGAGATGAGATAATAAATGTAAAGACCTCAGCCAAGAAAGACACTAAGACTCCACAGTTACCTTGTCAGTGAAATTACCTTTATAATTTTTAATAGTTGCATAGAATTTTATTTACTGAATGTAATAATTTTCCTAACCATCCTCTATTGTTGGTTATTTAAATCAGGACTCATGTGGCTTAGGTGATAGAATGTCACAATATAGGCAGGAGAATCTAGGTTTGAGTTTTAATTCTATACCTCACTGGATAAGTGGCCTTTTTGAGCCTTCTTTTTCTTATCTTTAAAGGAGGGAATATACCCATATTATTGTAAGGATTTGTGGATATAAAATGTCTGGTAAGAAGAACATACACAATCTTGCCTAAGGATGATAATGTTGTAGATGTGTTTAAATGGTTACTTCACTTTTTAAAGAAACATATTCTGGACTGACTTTTAAAAAAATAGATCTGTAGCTTGTTGAGTCTCATTTGGAATACTGGTCTATCTTTTAAAAAAGAACTATCAACTCTTCTCGTTACTCCCATGATGATTTTGTCTGTCTGCAAAAGGATATTTGTAATTTCCCCAACCTATTTGTAGTATTATATAATGATGATACTTGAAATTACAGCAATAATGACAGTTCTCATAAGGTTGGATCATTGGGTATATCTATAGTAAATACAAAATAGAAACAAACTATGTTAATTTAGGAAAGCATCTTATCCTTTAGGTTTTATGGACATCAAAAATGAGACAATTTGTAGCAGAGTAGTTAGTTCCTGAATTGATAAATTATCTCCCAAGGGATTGGAGATTCCTGTAGTACCCTTTCACCTTTACCCCTGGGTTCACTTTCCTTGGTTTCAGTTACCTTTTCAGATATGTTCTGAAAATGTTAAATGGAAAGGTCCAGAAATAAACAATTCCTAAATTTTAAATTGTATGCTGTGCTGAGTAGCATGATGAAATCTTGCACCATCCTGCACCATCCTACTGGGAACATGAACCATCTTTTTTGACTAGTGTATCCACACTGTATATACTACTCTCCAAATAGTTACTTAGTAGCTGTCTCTGCTATTAGATAGACTGTCATAGTATCACAGTTCTTGAGTTCACATAGCAGTAGTTTTTTTAATAAAAATGCCGAAGTGCGAGAGTCCTGATATTGGCAAAGAGAAGCCTTAACATACTCTCTGTAAATATCACCTAACATCATCAGCTGAGTACAGTCTATTTTGAGATGGAGAGACAGAACCAGAGAGAGATTATGTTCCTGTAACTTTTATTACAGTGGTTGTCTTACGTTGTTACTTATTGTTAGCATTCTTCCTGTGCCTAATTTATGAATCAAGTTTTATTATAGGTATGTATTATAGAAAACTTGCATACATACAGGTTATTATGTTATCTGCGGTTCCAGGCATCCAGTGGAGGTTTTGGAATGAGAGGGATAAAGAGAGATTACTTAGCTTTGGCGAAGGGGGACACTCTTAGGTCACATTTATTGAACCATATGCAAAATCATGTGATAAACTAGAAAAGATCTTAGCCACAGACCTTTCCCTTAAAGAACATACATGACAGTAGGAATGCAGCAACTTTTGATTACTGATGAGCACAGATTACATTCTTCCCACATTCACCCTTTCTAAAAGTTTTTGAGAAATTTGTCAGGGCGTTACAGTCACAGACTACTCAGCCTTATCTTGAGACAGAATCAAATTGAGCTTTCTACTAGAACATATATTTGTCCTTCCTTGATCAGAACACCGTGGAAAATGGATATGTCAATCTATTACAGAATTAAATAAGTTTATTTCATGGGAGAGAAAAACGATCTAGTAGTAATTGACAGAAAAGGAAGGATCATTGGAGAGAGCAAGAGAAACCAACATAGAAGTGAGTTCAAGCCCGGTAGCTTTACTTTTACATTTAAACAGCTTACAGATAGAAAGTTAAATAACTTGCCACGGTCAGAATGGCTGCAGGGGTCTGCATTTATGGTGGCTTGGGAAGGCAGAGGAGCAACACTGCTTTGTGGATTCATGACTATTTTAAGAAACGTGATCTCCCCTCAAACGTTTCTACCCACACCGTGCACATGCAGGAGCCGCTTAAGTCACAGTATCAATTTGTGAATTTACCTGCGTTGAAATAAGACTAGTGGTAGCTTTTCGTAGCATTAGAGTAGCTAATTAGAGTAGCATTAGAGTAGCATTAGAGCTTTTCGTAGCATAGACAATTATTACTTTTTAACTAAGTGGCTCATTTTTTAAGGTGCTAGCACACAGACTATTGGAAAGGAAGATGTTTGGTTTGTTGAGTGAATTCCACAGTAGGAGCCACAACCGAAACTGGCAAGGAAGAAAAAAGAGGAAGGAAAAGGAAACACTAAGAAGGAAACAATCTACAGTTAGGGTGATGGATTGTCAAGAGAAGAACATGACAAATGACTTGTCATTTTTTATTTAAAGCAATTAAATATGGCCATCTGACCAGGATGACTGATACATTGCTATAAAAGTTCCAAGCCCACCTTAAAAAGGTGGGTTGTTTGCTTTAAAATAAAATGGAGACGTTTCAGATGAGTTTGTATTACTGTGTTGGGAAAGAAAAAAATCACTTAAATTTATTTTTGCGGGAAGGAGTTAGTTAGTGGTTCTTTGCAAATAAAACACATATTGGCAAAGAAGAAATGTGTTCGTGGCTATACGTGGAGGTTATGTTGTATGTGTTGAGGCAGAGCTGCAGAGGCAGCATTGAGAAAAACTGGAAGCTGGGGAAGCATTGCATTATTTCTGAATGCCCATTTATTATTCCACAGCCACAGGAAGTATAGAATTTAAAATAGCTGAGAAGCACCTCTCAAAAATCTTATTTCTGTTAAGAGAATGCCAAATGGAAAGGTCAGTTTTATTTGCAAGATCTGGCATTTGGAAACACTTAGAAATGTAGTCCTATAGGCAGAGTTGATTTAGTTCAGTTGCTCTGCACATGCTCCTCGCCAGTTGTGTGGATTTTGCTTGAAATTGAGCTTTTCGATGTTGTAAACGTGCCTTGCATGGTGCAGGTGGCCATGAGGCTCAGGAAGTTGGAGAGAAAAAGTCACTTTAATGAAGTGAGGATGCCTTTGAGTCATGGTTGTTATGCAATACAGATAAAATAAATCTCAACACATTTATGCTGCGTGTTCCCTTTTCGGAATGCCACAAGCAGTGGGACATAGTAAAAGTTTTCTTCTTTAAATTCTTGGTCCTTGAATTCATGTATGAATTTCACGCAAAAAAAAATTACAGTCTTTGGCACAAATCGGTTAATAGGATGTTGCATATCAAAATGAAGGTGGGTAATAAATCTTGTATGATTGAAACGCTATTGCGTGATTCTATAGTTATGAATTTGACTCAGAATCCCTGCTTTATGGATCAACAGCCTTATCCAGGGCTTTTTGAGAAATGTTCCCGGAAGCATTCATTTTTGTCTGTAGGTTCCTATTGGAGCCGATAATATTTCCGAGATTAGGAGATGGAGTTTTCAACGTGGTTGAAGTAGCTGTAGGGAAAATTTTCTTTTCTGGTTTTTTTTTTTTTGGTACTGGGGATTGAACTCAGGACTGAGCGCTTGCAAGGCAGGTGCTTATGCCACTGAGCTAAATCCCTAGCCCGGGAAAATTTTCTTGATAAATGTACTAGGTAAGAGATGAGTTAATGCACGTGTAGGGGGCAAAGGTAAAGTGTTCATCTGTGATACTCCGAAGTGTAAAATTTTCAAAAAAGTGACGAAATAGAAATGGCAGTGAAAGCTTCCTGATTTAAAAAAGTCGATTTTCTGGGTTTGTCTTGTGAGTATTCCCTGCAGTTTCCCTGTGCAAAGTTAATTTGTGGGTTTTTTTTAATGACAGGAAATGACCAGGGAGAGTTCAAATGCTGAACTATATGCATTTTTCTTTGTTTAATGGAATAATAACTATGTTATTGAAAACAGTCGAATAGTTGACTTGCTTCAGTGAGTCAATGCAGACATTTCTGGGCTGACTTAAATGGCTGGGAGAAAGTGTATATGTTGGGGAGATAAAATTAATTTGATACAAGCTGCTGGTGGACAGAACTGCCTAATGAGTGAGAGCCTCAAGAAACCTCATTATAGTAATTTGGATGGATGAGCAGGGAACAGGAAGCAAATCTTTCAAGAGGAAAGTTTCTGCCTGAGCATGTAATTTTGTAGATGAGTGTTATTCCCCTTCCCCAGAGCTTTCTGACAGGGTTATAACAACACACCTGAGATCCAGTGTTCTCAGTAAACTTTTAT